ATTGTCGGTTAACGTCATGCACGTTGGAAAATTATCATTTTCCTATTTTCCTCGGTGTCCAGACGATTTTCCTGCGTCTTGTCGGGCCTAGTTAGACGAGAGACTCGACCGTGTTTTCAACCGCTTTTCTTCTCATGAGACAGGTGTATTCGTATGATTTGGGAGGAAAGAGTTCTCGTGTGTCCCGTCAATGCGTTAATTGTGGGTCGGTTGATAGCTCAGTGATGTCGAGAATTGTATAGGAAATCAGGATTTCATGAATTAATCTATGTAGCAAAATTAATTCACGCGATTTAGTTAATTTCGACGGCGGAGGATCATTAGATTTGAGAACATCAGCACACTTTAAGTCATTAAGTCATTACTTGAAGCTTGTTCCACACGAGGTACTCAGATCTGAATGTAGAGTTAGATTTGAGTGTTTTACTTGAGTCATACAGTATAGGCGACGTTATCTATAATCACGATTCAGCTGAAAAATTCACATCCAACTCTAAATTTAAATCTGAACATCTCACATGGCAGAAAAAATTCGACTGGATGAATTTCTGTTCGATTCTGTTTAAGTTAACGAGGTTTCTTGAACAGAACTTGAACAGAATTTCGGTAACTTCAGCCGGGATTCTGCTTTGTTCATATTTCATCAGACACCTGGTTGATCTAATCAAGCTTTTGCTTCGTGCACACCTGAGGCAAGTTTCAAACAGTGACTATTAGTGCGAACCTATTCATCTGAATTCTCTTTTATCACTATAAAGTAAACTCGGATAAGATGGTCATACATTTTTCAAGTGCAAAAAAAATACATTTCTTATTGTTATTTCTTAATAGCGTTTGGCACATTACTTCACTGAAGCCTACAGTACATAATACCATCAGAGTTAAAAAGAAAATACTTCAGTGAAATTATTTATTACAAAAATATCAAAACATGAGCACTGGCCATCTTACCTAAAATGTTTAAGACAAGATGGCCATAAAGAATAAATGATACATATATTATATTCAAGATTCTGTACTTATTATTTCATAATATAATGAAAAAAACATAATTGACATATTCATTTTAGTACAGGATATTTAATACATATTATTTGTGAAAAATATAATATACATATAAAATAGAAACATCTATTACAAAACTTAAATTTTAAATCCAATTTTTGATCAAAACATATTGCGCATAAGATTTAATTATTGTAATATTGAAAGTAATTTTTTAAATTACAATTTACATATCTACTTTATGTATCTAATATTGATTGCGATAGTTTGACTATAATTTATTCGACGTTACAGCAAGTTTTAGTGGATACATGAGAAATTTTACAGGTAGTCGAAAATAAAAATATAGTATAATATTCATAATCTTGCTATTTCGAAAAATGTACGCACATACTCTACAATAAATACCGATTATTTTTGTGACTGATTACACAAACGCAATGTTCTGCAATTATTAGAGAAATTACAGCCTATGGCGATTTTTCCGGTATGGCCATCATATCCGAGTTTACTCTAAGCTACTTTTAGAGCCTTCAGCGATAAAAGAGAGTCCGGAATATGCACCAATGATTCGTGCAATTATAAAAATGGAGCAAATGGACGAGTTGAGTCTTCTCTTTTCGAACTTCGCGGTCGTTCTTTCGAGAGTCTCACTCCTCGAAGCGCGCTTTCCGCGTTTGCATGGTTAACCGCATGATTCACGAGTTTTGTGCTGTCGAGAAGTCCTTCAAAGAGAATGTTTCCTCGGTGAGTCGCGTGTTAGGATCTCCTTTCGTGTATTTTGGAGTTTTCCAACACGCCTGAACCATTTACGCAAGATTACATACGAATCGAGAAAGCCTTTCGTACGTTCCGTTCTCCTTCCGTCGTCCTGTCATTCACGTAAGTCCACTCGTCCGTCCGTCCGTTCGTTCGAGGTGTTCCGACATGAAATTGCACGTGTGCACACGAGGCATCCTCGCACAAATAGTCACCTTACGTGCACGTCGTTCCGCTCGCCCTCCCGCCGCTCCTCCAGCTCCGAAGGGTCGCGTTGCGCTGTGGAAGGTGGAGCTATCGAAGCGCACAGTCGTTCCTCGAGTCGCGCATCGCGCACACCTCGCAGACGTAAGCAGCGCAACCATGGATGACGACTATATTTTCTTCTTCTCTCGACAAGTCGCCTCGAATAAATGCGAATCCGAATGTCCCGCGGTGTTTCTTCCTCGCGAGCGTCTCGGCCCGAGAGCGCAACGAGCGGATCGAGAAGTCGCACATGGGACCAGCGAGCGTTTTCAGTTTTCAAGTAAGTCGCAGTAATCTGGCAATTGTCTCCTCTCCGCGCATCTCCCAAGTGTTTCTCTCGGTGGAAATGCGAACGTGTAGAGAAATGTACGCGGAGTGTGTCTCCCATTCAAAATTTCTCGGCGACGGATCTCTCTTTTTTTTTTTTTTTTAGTTGTAACTCCGTTTAGAAACGAATGTGTCTGTTGAGTTGCAACGATTTAGAAACTATTTTCAAATATATTCGGTCGAAGGGACGTTCGAAAGGAAATTTTTTTTACGTCCTTTACATATCCTATTGTACATTTTAAAGCTACGTGCTTTAAAACTATGTGTGGAATGCAACGTTCTATCTTTCCACCTCAAGTGATAAGTTCGGAATGTCACATTGGCGTATCGCGAAGTTAGAGAACGAAAGTACGAATAACGTCGGGATTTTTCTATCGCGCCATTTTTTGCGCGCGAAACGATGACCAGGCAACTTATCGCGCTCGCGCGTGCAGCTCTGCGGCTATTTCGTAAGGTTTTCGCGTCGGGTTTCAGGAGCGCATTCCTCGGCGAATTTACAGTTGATTTTTTACTCGTGAAAGTTTCAGCGGAATTAAATCGACCGTGAAGAGGATACTTTTATTTCTTTTAATATCATATAATTTATTTCTTTAATATCAATGTGATATAACTGCTGTAATTTAATTTTACGTATTTCTCTGTACGATAAGACTCGCGTTTCTCTTGATATTTCAACATTTAATTTTCGCTACAATAACGTCAAATTAACGTCCTGGTGTTCGTAAGATTAACGCATTTCCTTAATGTTATTGGACGATTAGAAGCACGTTCCATTGTTTGACAATAATTTCCTTCATAACCGCAGCATTTAATGATTAATAGAGGTGAATTAGCTGTAATTAATAGAGGTAATTAATAGAGGTGAATTTAGCTGTGATTAATAGAGGTGAATTAAGCTGTAGTCGATCTTGAGATTCTTTTGTTATTTATCGTATTGTCAATAAGTTCGATTTGCAAAAATATGAAACAATTTTTCTGCACATCAAAAAGTTCCCTTAGAAACCTTAGAACAGCGCGGGAATCAAGAAGGAGAGGCTTCTCGGAAAGATTTTAGCGGCAGATTAGTTAAAAATTCGCAACAAACTGAATATTGTCAGCAAAGTTCGACGAAAAGAAGAACGAACGTGAGCGATAGTTGATTTTTTTCTGTTGGACACGCGTTATTAACTACGTCGAATTTGTGCTTATTTCACATTAAGCTATGCTCACGGGTTATCTGTAGATAGTGCACGAAGGACAAGCTTACCTACGATTACTTAACCAACGCGACGTGCGCGATTACCTCGTGCATGTACGACGTCAGGTAGTATCGCATTAGTTTGCAAAAATCGCTATGTTACTTGCGAACGATAAAAGTCCAGGCGTATATTTATCGTGCTTGTCGAAATAAAAAGTCCGGCCACATATGTGCACACATGTGTGCGCGCACGTGCACGTAAGTCGAATGTGCGTCCGACTTCATGGGCAAAGTGAACTTCTTCAAGTAGCGAGGAGAAGTACAGGGAAAAAAAGAGAGAAAATTATTGAAATATATCGCTAAAAGCGACTCATCGGGTCGCCCGACTCGTTCGACGGGAATTCGCGAGCGCATTCTGCGTCAAATAAACAACTCCAACTCGAAATCATACATATGCTGTATGCTGTTATTAATTCATATCTTCGTACAATCGGTTAAAATGATGTCAGAGACGCGAGTATCCAGCTAACGTGCAACGCGCAACAGGTAGCGCGTGTTTGGTGCAAGGCATAAATTTTCACGTGTTACTTGATCCAATATATCTGCGCCTGAAACCCGCTGAACGAGAAAATTAGCTTCAGAAAATCGGGCTTATAGATCCGAGCGAGGCAAACGAAGCGTGCAGATGTGATCGAATGCCTGCTAAAATAGAAGTAGGAGGATTGTACAGATGTGTGTCTAGATTACGATACGAGACGACGATACATTTTGATCGCGTCGGTGACAACAGCTGTCAGGCAACCGACGAAATTCAGGCTCTTGAAAGTGACAGCAAAAGGCGCTAATACGAGACGTATCATGAGGTTTAGCGGCTGTTGCAGTTTTTGTATAATTTCCGAATCGTCCACTCCTCAAATTGCGCTTGTACAAGCGTAAAACGATTCCTAATCATATTTCTCGATGAAAACCGCGCCATCTTAAAAATTCTCAAGGTCCTCGATCCTCGCTATTGTTGAGTCGTATTTTAATGCCAGTTATCTGTTATTATATATATATCAGATGTTGACATTTTGACAGTCACTGTCACGTATATGTGACTCCGTTTTGCTGATTGCTGTCGTTATTTAAAAACTATACTTCTCGGTAGTAACAGTTTATAATTGTAATATTATATAGAAACTTTATAAAGAAGTGTTTTTCTCGATAATGATAATTTACAATTGTGATATTATAGAAGCCTTATAAAGAAATATTTTTGGTAATGACACTTTGCAATTGTAATGTTACAGAAGCTTTATAGAGAAATATTTCTCGATAATAGCTTACACAATTGTAATTACAGGCGCTCTCTATAAAGAAATATTTCTTTATAGAGAGTCTGATAATTATTAAGAAGTACTTCTTTACAGAGAGCATTATCAACAAATATTTCTTTATAGAAAGACTGATAATTATCAAGAGATACTTATAGAGAGCACTTGTAATATTACAATTGCGTAAACTATTATTGAGAAATATTTCTTTATAGAGCTCGTATAGAATATTAAAATTGTAAAATGTTATTAATATTTTACAATTTTAATACTATACGAGCTCTATAAAGAAATATTCCTCAATAATAATAGTCTCAAAATTAACATAATAACATTGTAGAATTATAATATTATATGAAACTGTACGGATTTATATACAAGTAGAACATTTTCACCTCTCAAAATATTGTTAAAACTTTTGAAATGCGGCGGTCGAAAAATTGTCCCGAAATAAGTGCGGCCGCAATAAGTATTAACGAATCCCACGTTATTAGAAATGTTAATTTCAATTGTATGTGGTTGGTATGTACAGGGAGAAAAAATTTTTCTTTTTTTGACGCGTGTGCACGTTGAGCAAAGATCAAGAACGACTAGTGCCGAGTACAGAGACGTCGGGTTTTCACCTACCCGGCGTATAACGACGAGCTGACTCCTCGTCTCCGATGACGACTTCTTACCTCGAGAAACGCGCTGAGCGTTAATTTCTGGGTATCCAACACCAGAGACGAGGTATATCATTCGCAACGTTTGTCAAAACGCTCGTCTCCGCCTGCGCCGACGTTTCTCCTCCGCGCGCGCTTCATTAGTGCCCACTGATACTCGTGTATTCTGTCCGTTAATTGACCGTTAATTACACCCCCGGCCCGAAAGTGTTCGCTAAAAATAACACTGTTGATAATAGAAATGTCGCGCATAAGTAACCGCTCGAAGTATCCGCAATTGGAGCGTTACTTGACACAGGATACTCGATAATACAAGGGTCATAGGAGTCAAAGCCGGAAATAGAAACGTATGGTTCTCATTCGTCGAATCGAACTGTGCCGTCGCGTGTGCACCAAGCTATTATTATTATAATAGAAAAAAACACTGTCATAATAGAAATTATTATTGCAGAAACTCTTTTGTTTCGACGCTTCTTTTGTGTAATTAGTAGCGAAATAGTCATACGAGGCTCTTGTTGCTTTGTCCATTGTGTTAATTTATTAATTTTATTTAATTTACTTTCATTTAATATGTCAATTATGCACCGGTGAACACCGGTAACCTCGCGTTCTCCTTTCATGAGGTTTAATATCTCGTTGCAAAGCTTTGCAATATCCAATAACTTCTATTTATTTTCTTATCTATTTTCTTTATTCGTTGCAATGAATGTAAATAAGAAAAAAAGTAGGCGAAATATCGGGCGCGATGCAGTTGCTGTCATTTATCGGGATTATTTGTTGAACTCTGAACCACACACGGATATTACTGGTACTCGATATCGCGTGTACGAGCTGTACGTTTGCCGCTTGTTGTGTTTGTTTGTGTGTGTATGTGTGTATGTATGTGCGTGCGTCGCGGCCACTTGGTTGCGTCACCGGCATCGTGGACATTATTATGTTCCCACTGACGCAGGTACAATATGCCTGCCACGCTATTAGAGCACAGCGAGCTACGTTAACCTGAAACTCGTATAAGCGGAGCGTGTGTTTCATAACGTTGCGCGCGCGCGCGCGCACGACCTATGGAAATAAAGCGTAAACGATATTCCTTTATCAGCAGAAATGCGTGTACGGTACGTACGCGAAACGGCTCGCTCCTCGGCGTAATTCCTCGTCTTGAGGAGGTGCGTGAATCGCGCACTTCGCAGACAAATATCCATCCCGCGGCCTTGCCGGCGTATGATCCGAGGAAAAACGTCCTCGTCGAGGTGCAATTACGTTGGTGACATGCGACGGGAAGAATCTTGCTCTATCTATCAGATTCCTGCAAGTCCCGATATGTTTAATTACAGCGAACAGACGATGATGACTGCGCGATGATCGTGAAAGGATGATCGTGAAAACTTCTTCAATTTGTAGAAAGATTTCACTTCCGCTCGGCGCACAGTGCAAAGCGGAAAGGCGTGCAAACTTTTCTAATAAGTCCCAAAATGTAATTCGCGTCCAATAGAAAAGTGCATTCTCTGAGAAAATCATTAAAAAATCAATTCTCCTATAAGTTACTATTGTACGAGCTTTGATGCGCGAACAAGACGCCAAGAGAGAATATTTAAGAAATAAAAAATATTTATTCGGTGAATACTATTGACATCTTTTTACTAACGCCGTTGAAATATTTTTACAATGAGAAAATATACATTTTTTAAAACCTCAGCTTTTCATGAAAGTAATTGATTTAAATAGAAGAATTTAGATTTAAATACGTTATCTTATTATATAATACTCATACGGAGCAAATATGTTTTATTTTTTAGATATTTTTCTTTCAGTGGGATGTCTTTCTCGTACATATGTATGTAGATTGCACAATTTTCGCGCGAAGAGAATCGATTTGTACGTGTTATATAAACGCAGCTCTACTGATTTTTTTACTTTATAGAGATATAAACAGTGGAAGAGTAAAACCTTAGTACCAGACGAATCAACATATCACAATTGAAAATTTTGCGGTCAGAACATTCACTTGCCGTTCAAGTTTCATTGTTTACATACGTTTTTGTATGCTGTCGGTCTGATATTGTGTGCTATTAGCCTGATGAATACGCAAAACGCGCGAGTACCTTCTATTTTTATTATTTCCTCGTATTTTTCCTCTTACACTTCCCATTATACGTACGAATTCGCAATGACGGCTGATAACAGCGACGTCCTCGTTGATTCGCGACGTCCTCGTTGATTTCTCATCATCGGGTAGATTACGATAACTCACGTTTGCAGTGCGATTGATAGGAGCTTCCTTTCCCACGCTTGGTATCAGGATTACGTTATCTCTGCGTGATGCGCGACGCACCAAGCGACCAGCAAAGCGACACCGTTGTATCTGCGTATAAATATTAGTTGTATGAAATGTTGGCGAAAAAAAATTCGAAAACTCGAGGGTTCCAAAGGCACGCTCGCCGCGTGGCCAATGGAAATTGTACGCAAAATCTACAAGCTGTTTTCCACACTCGCGCGAACTCGTCTCCACCTTCATGTGGTTCCTTTTATTCCGTCGACCGGATGACCAGCGTGCAACTTCTCGGAATAACGAATTTTATCAGTGGAATCATCGAGTCTCACGGCTGCTCTTTTCACTTGCAAACGCGTATAGTCATGCCTCCCACGTAAGTTTTATATAATTGCACGGGCGCCGTGTGTGTATGCGCGTGTGACGATTAAAATTACTTGCCAATCATTCCGCTCCGCAAATGATTTTTTGCGGCGCATTTATCGTGCGTTCGATAAACAAAATATTAGAATGCGTATACATATGCATAAATACAGTCAAGGACTTGTATAAATGTTATCGCGTACATTTCGTCGTATATTCGTCCGGACGGATGTTCGTCGCATTCTTAACATATCGAAATATGTAAGACGAACAAAAGAAAAGGCTGTTACCGAGGAAAGGTGGAGACTTTTGTCGTGAGACTGTATGCAAGTCAAACGACGCATTATTCCTTGACCTGACCCAACGAAACCTCCTTTCATATTCATTAGAATCGTCCCGCTTCGTGCCGCTTTGGACCACAAAACGCGTGACTGTCGCGTCTCCGACGCGCTCGTGCAAATCGATTTATATGAAAAGTAAGAGAAAAATAGTATACACACGCAAGGAAAATCGGAGATAAACCTCGGATAACAGTCCTGCATAATTCTCGAGACAATGATGTTACATTCGTAATGATACATTTTGTCTTTTGTGAGCGCATTTTAATGAGCAGAGGAGACAGAAACGCGCCGTTAGTGCAATCGTAAATCGACAATTAGTAAATAAAGTTTAACTGATATCTGCAAAACAAATTCTAAACTGCAGGTAGAATAGTTGTTGTGCGCGTCTGATATCGTTAATTCATTAATTAATCAACGAATGCTTGAAAAAAAATAGACAACGTTATTGTCAAGTTACTGTCTTCCGCACCTTCTGTCGCCACGCTGTTCACGTGAAATATTTCCTGTGAACGACTATCTTGCCTTGTTTTCTTTATTTTATTTTCTATTCTCTCCCTGTCCTGCTAGGGATATCAGGATGAAACAGTCAGATAAAAGTCGACGGTTTATCGCGCGCGAGAGATCGTCCAAACGTACAATGCCATTCTCAAGCCACAGGGCCAATATATCTATTAGCATTTCGACAGCAGCGTATCGTTCATCTCGAAAAGACTTTTCGTATCGATTACGCATCTGCTCTGTGGAATGGGAAACGCTGATTCTGAATATTCCATTCGAGAGCCTATTTTAAGGACAAGAACTGGAGACCACCTCCCGTTATGGGAATTCAATCGCCTCTATTTTTTCCCTCAAGCTGAGATGTGATGTTCTTACATCATTTTTCACTTGATTTTATATCGAAATGAGGAATGTGCTTCACTACGAAAGTATCGAAGTAGTATGCAGTTATAAAGCCTCTTAGAAGTTCGAAATTTCAAAACTATTTCGTATTTTCACAATCCATGTATACATTAATAAATACTTCACGAGTAGGTCTTCCATTTGGCGTCAGAAATTCACTTTTTTGTCAGATATTTTTTAAGTAAACGATTTGAAATATAAATTTAAGCATAGGCTGTCTTAATTCCCAAATATTAAGAATTTCAAACAGAAGATCTTAGTTCACAAAAACTAAGGATTTCATGAAAGCTCTTTTCACGTTTTTTGCACCTTCCTCTCGTTGCAGAGGGATACGAATCACAACGATGAAACGACCGAGGGGATGTTTTGGGACCCGTCATGCGACAACAATCGAAACGCGAGGAACCAGAATCATGTACGACAATTGCAGGAGCAGCTGGCTCAAGCCACCGTGAAAGTACGCGAATTAGAATGCGAATTGAAGCGCGTTGAAATGGTAATGATCATCGACAGTGCTTAAGACAGAGCCTTCTTGAATACGATATAAGCAGTATAATACAAACAGGTGAACTGTACGTCTTTGAAGGACGATATTCCCGATGGGCATCGAAGGGCTGAAGTTTTACGGGCGAAACAAGACATGCTGAACCGTATAATACAAATAGAAGAAAAGGTATAGAGCACTATATCAAGTATGTATTTATAACATCATCTTCCTGTTATAATCGTTGATTGTAATTAGCGTACAGTGGGAAATCGTGGTAATAGATAAGAAAGAAGATGATTGCTATTTTTCGCATAGAAACGAGTTTGAGGGATTCACAAAATTATTAAAGAAAATAATTTATTAAAAAAAGACATTTATAATTTGAGTTATTTTAGGAGAAATCCGCATGTGATTAGCATCGAAAACATCATAAAAAAAATTGATTAATATTTATTATTAATATTTCGTGTTTCTTTTTAGACTCGAGAAGCGGAACGAAACGTTAAACGCATCCAGTTGGATGAAGCCACTCTTGTTAGTGATTTTCGCTCGATAATGTCCAAATTAAACTCACGTGAAAAATTTGACTTGGTCAGCGGAGCTCTGAAAGCTTTGCAAATTGAAAGTGAGACATGCGGGAAGATGAAGGGTCACGAGAAATCTGATTCAGACGAGAAACTTGACAGATTGGGTAGCTTCGAGTACAATCCTTTAAAGCATCATTTTGACATGAACTCTGAACAGAGCAAGCAGAATAACACAAATGAGGAACAACATTCGACAAACAAGGAGGAAGTATTGCGAAAAAGGATAGAGGAGCTTGAAAATAAAAACAAAGATCTCCTGGAGACTATGGAAAAGTTGGACGAAGAACATTCGCAATCGATTGGTAAGTAGACATCTTTTTTGCAAGTATAGCAACTGTCATTTGTCTGCTGATGACAACTGTTTCTTTTCCTATTGACTGGCGATCGTTTAAAGATATATACTTTATTTTTTCCGCAGAAGAATTACTCTCTCTAAAGCAAGAAGCTAACAGGAAATATCGCTCCCTCCAAAGTGCACACGAACAACTTTCTACGGATTACAACGAAATTCAGAAAGAAATAATCAAATTGCGAAATAATGATACGCAAATACTCGATAAAAGTACTAATAAATTGGACAAGCACATTCAAGTAATACTTCCTTGCCAAGGAGACGACTCGATATCGGAAACAAGCGTTCTCAATGATATCAGCGAAAAAGTTAAAGCCATCTTAAGAAACTGCACTATAAGCAGTGTTGAGTCGGGAGAATCGATCTTCGAAGCTATTGCGAAGCAATACGTCGACGCTAAGTGGAAATTGGACGTTTTGGAAAGAAAAGTGACCGAGATCACTAGGAATCTAAAGGAGACTGAAGATATGAAGGATGCTCTGCAGATGGATTGCGAGGAATTGCAGTCTCATATCGACAGCTTGTTGATGGAGAATCAAGCTTTAAAATTGAACTTGCCACCTATTCCTGAAGCGAGCGAAGAACGCGTCGCTTCCCTGGAGACGGACGTGGAATCCTTAAGTGAAGAGGTGCAACGTCTTTTGGCGGAAAACAAAACGATACGCGAAACAAACTTAAATCTGACGCGCGTTGTACAAAATAAGGAATTGTCTTCAACAAGTGACAACCAATCGAAAGAGAACATTAATCGCGAAATCCATTCATGCTCAGAAGAAAACAAAGAGTTACAGGAAGAGATTGTTTTATTGAAAGATACAGCGGAACAGAAAGAATTTCTAGTATCTTTGAAAAAAGCTGAAAGTTCAAATGAAGATCATGAAAATATAAAGCAAAAATTAGAATTAGAAGAATTAGGAGAATTTGTAGAAGACGATTGTCGGGATATAAATATATATAAAATAATAAGAGAAAACAAAGATTTGTTAAAGAAGCAGGAACATTTGAAAGTGGAATTACAAGATTGGCAAAAACGTGACTTACAAAAGGAATATAATAGTTTTTTGAGCGATTTGCAGCAACAGCTGGATAAAACTATTTGCGAGAAATTCAACTTGCAAAATCGGATTATTTTGTGTAAGGAAAATGACTTGGACGAGATGCTGACTGAAATTGATACGAGAGAATCTCAACTAGCGAAATTGTATCAAGATAACGACAGACTAATTAAAGAGAATGCATCTCTGTCAGAGCAATTGGCCGCTACACACGATGAATCCTTGGATAAGATAGAGCTGCTGAATACAGAAATGTCGTTGCTTCAACAGGAACACGAAGACTTGAAACAGGAGGAGTCGACTCACAAAGGCGAATTGACTCACGCGAAGGAGAAATTACATGAGACGCAGGAGCATTACGCGAGACTGGAAAACGAGTGTGGTATATTGAAAACGCAATGTGAGCAACTTGAAATAGAAAAAGGAAATATTCAAAGTACAATGACGGAACGAGTAACGAGAATACAAGAGCTCGAGAAAGAGCTAAGTTTCAAAGAATCGGTCATAGGAGAATTAAATTTTCTACGCAACAAATGTCAGCTCTTTGAACAAGAGAGAGAAGCACTTTTGTCGGAATTTCCAAAAACTTCCTCAAATAACTTGACGTATTTAGATCAAACTAATGAGGGGAAGGAACTTGGAACTATAGATAATAATTTAGTTAAGATGGTTAACGTGGCGGAGGAGATGAAGGCGGAAATGCAAGATTTAGCGACAGAAAGGACGAATAACGCAACGTATGACAGTAACAAGCAACAAACACTCGAGCATATTATCGACGAAGAAAGACGAGAAAAGGATATCGTGAAGGAACACAATGAAAAGTTAACAAATGAAATTATCGAGCTACGTAGCAAGTTGCAAGCTGCCTTTGAAAGTAACAAGGAATCGACGGAGATGGCTAAACAAACTATTGAGAATCTTTCTCACATAATTCGAGATAAAGACAATGAAATAAGCGTTCTACGAGCTAATATTACAAACGCGAACAATGTTATCGAAAAAATTTCGAATAAGATCTCTATAATCGGTAAGCGAAATGATGAGCTTGAACAACTTGTCACCGTCAAACACAACGAGACTTTACGGTATCAAGATGAAATTCAGCAGTTGATCTGTCGCCTGAATGAGCAAGCGGTTCACATTCAGACATTAATCTCTGAGCAGACAATGAACGAGATGAGAAGTAAAGAGAATATAGAGGAAAATAATCATAACAAAATTGAGAATCAAATTGCAGAGCACCACGGGCAGAGAGACGAAATTGCAGCTCTGAACGAAAAATGCGCCGCACTGGAAGCTGCTTTGATCGAAGAGCAATCGAACAATAGAATTCTGCGGGACCAACTTACTGAGAGTCAAAGCAAGGGAACCAACGCCAACAAGGAATTGGAAAGGTTGAGAACGCATTTAGTCGAGATGGAATCGAGCTATACGGAAGAAGCTCTAATCGCCGAGAAGAATCGCGAAGAATTGGAAACGAAGTTATTGCAAGCCGAGGAGAAGGTGAAGAACAGTTCGATCGCTTACACATCGGCGAATATTAGGGCGAACCAGCAGGTTGAGACGTTGCAGCAGCAAATGGCTCTAATTATTCAGCAGAGGGATCAGATACAGGCAAAATTGTCTACCACGGAGGACAATATTTTACTACAATCCGCCTCTTTGACTAACTTACAGATAGTCTTGGAGCAATTCCAACAAAGTGAGTAAGAATTTCTTCAATACGTAATAATTTTTTATTTTTTATAAAAAGTAATTATCACGAGACTTTATGTCACGCGAACATTGCTTATTTGTATATTTCTCTTAGCAGCGAAATAAAAATTAAAATGCAGGTTGACAATGAACACACTGTAATAACACTAATGGTGTGCTTAAATTTACAGCTAAAGAACACGACATCATGTCGGCCACGGAAAAGATTCGATCTCAGCTCAATGAATCGTACGAGAAACAGAAGGAACTGACGAGTGAAATTTTGGTTCTTAAGGTTTGCCTCTTAAACATTCTTGACGCATTATTCTATTAGACAATTTTATTGAATTAATTCGCCATTGTGAAATTGTTGTGTATATGTTTACAGCAACAATTATTTGAGGCTAAAGAATGCTTGCAAGCTGCTTCTAGACTAAGCGAGCAGCTCGAGAAGAAGGACGAACAAATCGAGCGACTTAACGAAGAAGGTAACTATATAATCAAGTATTATACACTTTTAATATTGCCTGCATTTTGTTTTTTTGTTTATGGCATGATTAGTGTTTTTCAATTATATCGTTTTGTGCATCATATAAAGCGACTTGGTAAGTTTTTCTCAGTATCGCACAGAAGACAGGTTATATGTTTCTTACATATTTTTGCTTTCATTTTAACACATTGCAGTTAAGCGGTAAATTAAATCATACGATGCATACCGCACGAATTCCATTAATAATATTCTGTTTCTCGTGTGTATACACATACAAAAATATAAACTTATAAGCGGAGTTTAAGCATTTTGTACGAGAGAACATCTTATAAGAATGAAAGAATAAACGTGTCAACGAATCGACGAATATCGTTAATAATCATTTAAAACGTTAAAATTGAAGTGTTGAAACGCGACATCTTTTTGAGAGGAACATCTTCACGTAGACGTAAGATCGACAAAGCTTGGTAAGTTCGGCAGATCGCCGAACGAAATATTTTATTTGTACGTTTTGTGTGTATAGCTTCTTCGTAAATAACATAAACCACATATATTTAACTTAAAGAATATCAAGTAGTTTAAAAATGTGAAAGAGAGACATTATTTGTGCATTGTTATATAATAATAACGTAGCACGCGTGATCGATAGTAATAAATGCAATAGTAAGTATTGTCGAAATAAATAAGTCCCGATTTAATGATCAGTGTATTCACAATCTGTGACTAATCTGCGAAAGCAAAACACGTATTTAGTCCGGTGGTGTAATCAAATATCAGCTGGTAATTCTGGGGATTATGAGGGTAGCCCAGGATTCTTGCTGGTATCTGGCTACGAACTGGATCATCGCCTTTGCACACTAAATCACATATTGGTTGGTTCACGCAATTGCCCTGCTGGTGCTGGTTACTACGTTTCTGCACTTTACTACATGCGAGTTCTCGTTTTTCCCTTGGTGGCTCTAACGAAAATCATTAAAAAGAAAAGAAGAAGCAAGAAAAACGACCGCTAATGTTGCGTTGGTGCCCCTAGTATCTTGTTTTATTTCTTTTTCTTTCCATCCGATCGTTATTGTTTCACGTATTACTGTTATTTCGTAACTAATTATCGGTAAAATAGATTGTAACGATTTATTTCAGTAGAACACGATATATAAAGGATGTTTGTATTAACGGATTTGTACGTTATTATCTTGCATGTGGAAGCGATTATACTTTGTCGTTCATTTCTTTTCGGTACACGGAAGAGAAACTAACGTTTGTGGGATTAATTCCGATTATAAATAATAATATATTTCATGAATATTACACACACAATCACGACATGATCATGCAATTTATTTTCTGCGATGATGCAATTTGATCGCCATGCACCCTAACATGCATGCAAGATAGTAATAAGATATCAGGATCGATACAATATCAGAAGTAGGGCTTCAATGTTATTTCAGATCTGACACTGTCCGGTTATCCGTAAATAAATTTGATAAATTTGGGTAAATATAATATTTCATATTCGTATTATCCGGGGATTCGGATTTTTCAAGATATCCGAACAGTTGAAGCATGCAATCCGGATCCAAGTTCGCAAGGGAATCGACGCTACCAAACAGACACGATCGCAGCAATCTAGATGTCTAAAAAATTTAACAATTAATAATATAAAATAGTTTTTAGCTGCAACTTGACAACTTGACCTGAGACTATCATACCTATTTATATATTTAAATAATAATAATTATATTTAAATAATAATTATTTCTAATAATTTTGTTATCAAATCAGAAAGTTCAATATTTTTTTTATATTTTATCTATTTTTTCTTTTTTAATCCTCAAATCAGAATTCTATTCTGAATCTCAGTTCTATATCCGGATTCGAATTTTTTTATGATCTGAATTTGGATCTAAATAGCGCAGTTTTCAGTTTAAGAATCGAAATCGATCTCGGATATCCAGATAGTCAGATATCCAGATACTTTGAAGCCCTAATCAGAAGTCATTTTGTATTGAAAATTGCTCTGTGTGTGTATGAATGTGTAGAGTTAGTTAATTAATTAAATATGCCAGACTATACGAGACACAGACACATATTAATTATAAGTGGGATTGTCTCGATACAATTACTACTGTTTTTATCTGGACTTGTCAATCAACGTATAGTTGATGCTTCTTTTAAGAAAAACCTCGATATTTCAACAATTTACGAATAATACTCAATTGGAAATGAAATAGTTTTGGCGAATGAAACTTCGGGGATAAACCTTTAAATTCGTCTACAATTGTTATAATAAATTCTATGAATTTTATATACTTTAATGACTATATTATTCTGAATTTGATAAAAATGATCTTTGAAAACTTGTAAGGAACTTTTTATGTCATCTCATATCTTAATTACATTATGATTGTAATAATGATACATTGTACATATATATAATGATATGTACTAGCGCATAAATTAAAATATATTTGTATCGGTAATACAAATGTATATATAACGTTATATATGCCGAGTGATCTAATATAATTTAATGGATCGCTTCTAAAGGTATGACTTAAAAAGATAATATACGGGGTTAAATTGTTTCGAAAGGCACATCAAATGTTGCATGCGTTTGTTTGAAGGGTGCAGCCGTTTGCAATGAACTCATGCGATATCTGACTCGGTATTTAACTCCTGTGTTACCCTTTTCGTTTGCTGTATACTTTCAGAGATATATTCATTTATAAAAGTTAATAGGCCATCCTGTATATGTATGTATGTATGTATGTGTGTGTATTTATATATCAATGCGTAATCATAATTTGGTAGCGATGACGTGGGTAATCTCATGCGGTAACTGTGAGCGTGTAAATAGGAGAAGCTCATATTACCTCGTGGGGTTTCCCACCCGTTACCACGATTCGTCAAAATTATAAATTTTTCGGATCGGTCAAAGATCACTTTTGCACACGTAAATCGATCGATGAAATTGTCGAGAATGATCATATTTCCTCAGCCATGGCAATCCAATAGCATAATGGCAGGCATGCCGTAATTTTCTGTAAATGTTCGCAGCAACGTGCGGTGATCTGCAAATTTTTAGGAACTTTATACGCAGGATGGCGATCCCGAGTGTTACAAATTCCGTTTCCTCCCTGAAAAACCCCGGTCAGAGCTCGAACGCGCTCTGCTACGTGAGCGAATGCGGATTGTTATTACTAAAAGCGCTTCTTCATACTTCTAGTGGCATGCGTGCAACCTTTAGTTTTGTTAGAACGGCATGATAAACGAAGAATGCAGCATGCGCAAATTAAGGCGCAGGTGAGAGTATTGCATCAGGTACTGATGTGATGTCGAGACAACCAGTACTTGTGTTAATACTTACGCTTGTGTCTTTCCAAGCTACCAATTCATCGACTTTGCGACGATGGACCGCGCACAGTGTACATAGAAATTGTAAATTTCATCATTAATTTCTCGATCAAGTGCCAACTATCACGATTAAGAAACTTCGAAAAGCGAAAAAACATAATCTTTTTGTAGATAGATACATTTATCTAACTCTTCTTCTTCTCTCCACTTCCTTCGTTTTTTCTCATTCTTCTCTCTCGAGTTAACAGTCTAAATTTGTTTGAAATATTCGCATAAATCAAGACTTGCTTTCATCAATCCTTTCCCACTTTTATGTATATTAATGTTCATAATTATCGATTTCTCTCTAGTGGTGCAACTGACGACGTTAGTGAACACCACCAACCAACAGGTAAAAGAAACGATGGAACGTGATGAGGGAAAAGTGGACAAGTGAGTAAAGCATAATCTTTGCTACGTTTGACACTTGTCTACAGGGCCAAATAAAAACAGTCATCTGTTTTTTTTACAGAACCCTCGTTAAGAATCTTCTTTTGGGTTACTTATCCTCAACTACGTCGAATAAGTCTTCGATCCTTAGAGTTTTCGCCACCGTTTTGGATTTCACCGACTCGGAGAAGGATAAAACTGGCTTGAACAATGCGACTACGCAAGGCAACTGGCTGCTGCGTGCCGACAAAGGCGGTAGTGCACTATTAAAAGTACGCGATTATTTACTATAAATATCAATTGCGAATTATCTTTAATAAAATCGATAATTTCTGCTTGTGATCAAAATGTACAAACACGTAATGATTTTATGTATCTTGCAGAGCGAAGAAACATCTCTGACGACAGCCTTCGTGAGATTTTTAGAAAGCGAATCCAAACCAAAACCTCAACTGCCAGCTTTGCCGATTTTGAATTCAGTAAGTGAGAGAAGTCTGTCCTTTGCGATTCTCCATTCATTAAAAAACATCACTCATTGAGCACTTTTGCAGCCTTCCTCTCGGCCCGGATACAATAAACAACAGTCGTCATTGTCGTCGACGTTGGCATCGTCGTCGTCATCGTCGTCATCGTCGTCGACGTCGTCGTCGTTATCATCGTCATCGTCCTCCTCATTGTCGACACAGTCCACATTGTTGTTGTCCAATGTTGCTCTTCCGACATTCCCAGATTTCGTTCCAGCCAGAAACACGGGGTCTATTTTGAAAGAGGTGTTGAAGGATAGTTGATATTATACGCTGTATTAAACCATGTACAAATTATATTAAAGCTTTATTAGATTGTATTTTATTATCAGGATTCTTTATGATAGCCGATTTCTATTGTATCGTTGCATTGCTTTGTCGAAAAGAGTGAAGAAACAACGCGTAACTGTACGGTATACTCGAACGCAATTAGAGCTTGAAATTTATCAAAAATTCTGTAATTTATTGTTGACGTATTCGCGAGACTTTACTCTTTTGCATTTAGCATTTCCTTCATTTATGTAATACAAATGTGCTGTATATAATTAGACAACGTTATTTTTCGTACTTAACTTTTGTATTTCCGAAAATTTGACACTATATGCATTGGAATTTCATTAAATTCAGATTTTGTTATTTTCCATTTTTCTACCAATACAATAATGAGATTGTTTATTTGCGTAGTATGTTATGCGAGTTATTTTTAGTTAAAGCACGCCCTCATTTGTGTGCAATACTGTTTATTTACTGTTTCGATACTATTTTTTGTTTCGTGCCGCTTTAAGTTTAAGTTGATCATTTCACGAAATTGGTACGGAAGAGAGTTTGTTCTCGCCGAAGAAATCTGACATGTATAATCTTTTATATAAACAAAAATACAAATGGGACATCAAAGAGAGAAACATGTATATTAAACAAGATCATGTTTGGGTTATTTCGATTAGATTAATACAAAGATTTAATAATTATATATTATATTTGATGAATAAACTTGTTGATTTTAAATGGAAAAACTGATGTACTAGAAGAACACGACAATAACTGATCTTTCTCTTGACACACACACACACACACATTCAATCATTATTTATAAAAACAAAAAACATCAATGGTAAATGGTAAATAATAGATTCTTTGCGCATTTCATTTGAAATAGTTTTAATATAGCCATTATAAATGTTACAATGAACGGAAAGTATGCTAGATCGCCTCGTGACAGAAAAAATAACAAAGTTCTCTGTAACGATGACACAACATGACACTGCAAGTAATAAATACATAGTAAGGTTTCGTTGTATAACCAACTTGCGTACTATGGGCATAAATACAAAATAAAACTATGTATTTGAACAAAGTTAGTGTACAAAATATAGATCTATTCAACGAGATTTCATAATACATACACTATTATTATTTTGTAATATATATGAACGCACCAACTTACTCATTCGTTTATTCATTCATTCACTCACTCATTCACTCACTTAATCATTCACTCATTTATAGACCAACATTTTATCGAACACTCGATCGTATCAGTATCAAAAACTTGACAGCATCTTATAAAAAATTAGATATACTTCTTTCATTGTATAACTGAAACTATAAATTTTTCAATAATTATCACAAGAGCACAAACAGGCAATAGCCATCAATCAATAACGTTTCATAATATATAGATATCCTCCGTTCGCGTTTAATTGCGTTTCTATTGTTGACGAACGAGTTTTCATAGAATGAAAAGATCAAAGAGACAAATTTCTACAGAAAAAAACTTTGATTAAACATCCAACTATTCCTCGTAACTGTTCCAACGTATAATATGCGTTATCGCGGTATTGTTATTGTAAAGAATATTCGTAACCAATAAGTTGAACATCAAGCTTTTAATTTTGATAAATTATTGTAAAAATCTATCAACTGCTAAATGAAACATATGAACATTGCATTGCATTAATTCATGACATTGAAAAATTGTTAAGTTTTAATCGATATCGACGGGTTTT